GCTACTTCTAACAAATAGAAAAAATACATTAAAAAAAAAAACTGTCTGCCGAGGAACAACAAATAGATGCAAAATGACCATAAAGATAATTTTTTCGTCCTTTTCCCCCAAATTTTTCCTTCTTTTTTCACCTTTTTTGTCATTTTTGGGTAATATTTTCTCTTCTTTTTTTTCAGAAAGCAGGAGGACTACCCAGTCGGTTATTAGCTACACATGCTATAGTCCTGGAGAACAGTGGGAGGAAGTTTAAAGCATTTCTCCCCCTGAGCATCATGGGTAATGTGAGCTATCAGGAAAAAGCTACTTCTAACAAATAGAAAAAATAAAACAAAAAAAAACTGTCTTCCGAGGAACAACAAATAGATGCATAAAGATTATTTTTTTCACAATTTTTTCACAATTTTTTTTCCCTTCTTTTTTTAAACTTTTTTGTCATTTTTTTGGTCATTTTTCTCTTCTTTTTTTCAGAAAGGAGGAGGACTACCCAGCCAGTTATTAGCGACACATGCTATAGTCCTACTAGACCACAAACACACACAAACAAGGAGGGAAAGGCGAACTAAAAGCTTCCCATTAGCCGAATGCCTGCGTTCAGGAGCCAATCAGGGGTCAGGATTCAGTCATATGACTCCAACTGGCCATGTTGAATGTGGCCGTAGAATATTGGTTTTGCGGAAAGCCACAACATGTGTTTGTTTATCCCTCTGGATATGATGCGATTAAAAAAATGAGGAAGGTAGCTGTTGATAAAAAATGATCTGGAAAAAAAATACAAAAATACAACCAAAAAAAAACCTAGTTTGGCTACCGAGGAACAACAAGTAGATGTAAAATTACCATAAAGATGATTTTGTTTCTTCCTTTTTTCCACATTTTTTTTCTTTTTTTGTCATTTATTTAGTCATTTTTGGTTGAATATTGCTGGGCAATGTTTTGCCGAACACGTGTTTGTGTAGCATCAGATTATTGTTATCAGAAAATGACGACAAAGTAATCAAGTTCTTGTTCTGTTGTCTGTAATCCGTAAAATACCTTTATATATGCCGTTCCAGCCTCCGTGGACCTCGCCCGTGGCCGACACCTCCTCCCGGTGCGCCCCCTGATCCGAGGTCAGATACACCAGGGTGTTGCTCCTCAGGTGGAGCCGCTCCAGGGTCTGCACGATCTCACCTGAGCAGATAGGATCCTAAACTTTTCAATTTTTCTATTCAATTTTATTTATATAGCGCCACATCACAACAACAGTTGTCTCACAGCTTTCCGAAAAGAGCAGGTCAGACCTACTCTGAAGTTAATTACAGAAACCCAACAATTCCCACCATGAGCAAGCACTAGGCGACACAGGCAAGGAAAAACTTCCAGAAACCTCGAGCAGAACCATCTGCCTCAGCCGGTTGTGGGTGAGCAGATAGGAGCCAGTGTGTTCATGAGCCTGACACGTTTTCACTTTCTCACTTGTGGGAGCCATTTTGCACTTTTACTTTGAATAGTGGTAATTCTGGTTTGTTTGTTTATTATGAATTTGTTTACATTAGTGATAGTTTCATATTTTGGTAATATTCTTTTTGTAATTCGTCTAGTTAATTGTTTTGCTTTATGTTTAGTCTTTATTTGGTAAATTTATCAATTGTAGTACTTGGTTTTGGACACCTGGGGGTAGTGGTGCGCACAGGTAAGGGTGGATTTAGGTAAGTAATGGCACACACCTGTATGCACCTGGGTAGTGGGCATATGGTTTTTTACCAGCGCAAGAGGTTTGCTCACGTAAAACAGCAATAAACTGCCTAAAGGAAAATTCTGCGTGGAATCATCTT